CCCCAAAACCCCAAAACCCCAAAACCCCAAAACCCCTAGGTGGAAGACTCTAATTGAACATTTTTAATAGTAACTTATTCTTCAATGTAAAATTTATTAAAGTTAGCATTGAATGTGTGCTCTGATGGGGGAAGGTACTTCTTGACATCTTTACCAAGAATTTCATCTTGGAGCAAGTCGTAGCTTCTGGTTACTGGGACTGACTGTACTTTCCAAATTTTACTGAAGCTTTGACTATCGTAGAATATCGATCCTTTCATTTTAGATTTTGCTAACTGTTCTTCACTTAGAACTCTAGACTTAGTTATCAGAGCAAGGGCAAACCTTAACTCAGTGAAAGAGTCTTCAATGAGCTGTTTTGATTCTATAAGTCTGTGGATTGCTTGCACACATTTTTCTTTAACAGCAGCTTCTTTCCTGATGAACACATTCTTGATAAAATTGAATTGTTTTTTGGATGGTTTAAATGATGCGATGAACAGGTCAACTTCATTTAAGTTGTGATTCTTCTTGAACTCACTTTCTTTGAACTTGGTACAGTTGTTGAATTTCTTTATGATGTCGTAGTCTCTATCATAGTCGACAGTGAGGTCTCTGTAATGGATGGGAGTGACGTTCGCATGAATATCATTGATGAGCTTTCTGAATGCAACATCGATGAAGGCTTTGTGCTTGTCAAAAATTATTTTAAAGAATTTATCCCATACTTCTCAAAATTTCGTAGGGGTTCTATTTAGGATCAAGAGACTCTAAGTCTAGAACTTGCTTCCAAAGATTACGTACTCCATTGTTATTTTTCTTTCTCGAATACATTTTCTTGCTTAAGACTATCCTGCTCCTCAGCTTTTTGAGCTAACAAATTTTGTAGTCTAATATTCTCTTTCTCAAGATATCTGACTTTAAACTCTAGTTCCTTGATATATTCTTTATTTACGATTTCTTGACATCTTCGACCTATCTTTGGCTCTGAGTCTTTTGTTTTTGATACTCTGATTACTAGAATGCTCTTCCTTATTATCCTCTCTAGCTCCAGGCATTGTCGGGTATTGGATGCTAACAACACGAGGAAGGTCTATAACAGATTAGTCCTTGTAAATGGCCTAGAAGTACCTAATCCTATTGACCGAATTGAAGACTCTTGGTAAGGTTCTCTGAACGGGTTGGATCAAGCTTCAAAAAGGTTGCTTGGGTTGTTCCCTGACATTTTTATTATAATATTTAATTGAGCTTGAGTAGTTTTGTGGGGGTTTTGGGGTTTTGGGGTTTTGGGGTTTTGGGG